GCTCATGAGACCAGTAACACTTTTTTTTTGCGCGTACATTTGTACCTACATGCTCGAATACCACGACAACGTAACAGTCGCTCCAGTCTGATTACAATCTGTAATTCGGACTCGACTGGCATGAGAAAGAAAAAAGCCGCTCCAGTCTGGGCTTGAATGCCTTATCGACTCGGGCTAATCGCAGTACCAGCCGCTCCAGTCGGAGTGAGAACCACAGCCCGACTCGGCAATTGCATACATAGCAGCCGCTCCAGTCCAGGTGTGAATATCTCACTGACTCGGCTTATGTGACATTAATACCGTAACAGCCGCTCCCGTCGGATTATGTAAATAATACCGACTCGGCTCATGAGAACAGTAGCATCTTTGTTGTTTTTTGCGCGTGCATTTGTACCTACATGCTCGAATAACACGACAACAACGTAACAGTCGCTCCAGTCTGATTACAACCTGTAATTCGGACTCGACTGGCACGAGAAAGTATAAAGCCGCTCCAGTCTGGGCTTGAATGCCTTATCGACTCGGCTAATCGCAGTACCAGCCGCTCCAGTCGGAGTGAGAACCACATCCCGACTCGGCTATTGCATACCTACATAGCAGCCGCTCCAGTCCAGGTGTGAATATCTCACCGACTCGGCTTATGTGATATTAATACCGTAACAGCCGCTCCCGTCGGATTATGTAACTAATACCGACTCGGCTCATGAGAACAGTAGCATCTTTTTTGTTTTTGCGCGTGCACTCGCACATGCTCGAATGCCACGACAACGTAACAGTCGCTCCAGTCTGATTACAATCTGTAATTCGGACTCGACTGGCATGAGAAAGTATAAAGCCGCTCCAGTCTGGGCTTGAACGCCTTATCGACTCGGCTAATCGCAGTACCAGCCGCTCCAGTCGGAGTGAGAACCACATCCCGACTCGGCAATTGCATACATAACAGCCGCTCCAGTCCAGGTGTGAATATCTCACCGACTCGGTTTATGTGATATTTATACCGTACCAGCCGCTCCAGTCGGATTACGTAACTGATACCGACTCGGCTCATGAGACCAGTAGCATCTTTTTTTTGTTTGTGCGCGTGCACTCGTACATGCTCGAATACCACGACAACGTAACAGTCGCTCCAGTCTGATTACAAACTGTAATCTAGACTCGGCTGGCATGAGAAAGTAAGCCGCTCCAGTCTGGGCTTGAACACCTTATCGACTCGGCTAATCGCAGTACCAGACGCTCCAGTCGGAGTAAGAACCACATCCCGACTCGGCAATTGCATACATAGCAGCCGCTCCAGTCCAGGTGTGAACATCTCACCGACTCGGCTAATGTGATACAGTGCATTTGCGTGCGAACATCATACGTACGAGACTGGTATAACAACGTAACAGCAGATGTAATCTGATCATCTAAGTCATACAGACTCGGTCGGCAGGACCTCGGCATGAACGTTATACCGACTCGGCTAATCGCAGTACTAGCCGACCCAGTCTACGTATAAACCATACCGACACGGCAAGGAACGTCAACAGCAGCCGCTCCTGTCTAGGTGTGCCTACTTCACCGACTCGGCTAATGAGATACGCCAGGTACCGGGCTAACCGCGCATATGATCCTCGGGGCGGCTACGGCACCGCGTCATATTCGCCGTTTTTTTTCACGACCGACATCTGGTCCATTTGGTGCACATCTGGTGCAGGTTGGGTGCAGATTTGGTCAGTTAGTGTCCGTGTGGATCTTAGAAGCTATATCAGCTGGGGCTGCAATGATTGTTGCTATGCCTGCTTTGTCGTTTGTCGTATGTCAGAGAGTATCACCGATTAACTCACTGAAGTAACCTCATGAGAAAGATTTTGCTGTAAAGAGATTGGGTACAAATTTGGTCCTATACTCGCCGGATAGCCCGTCGTGAAACGGTGATTCGCTGCAGGCGGCGGCCTGTGTGCATGGGGGAGAGGGGCACAGCTGCGTGAAACAGAGCACCGGCAATTAGACCGGGCGAGTGGGCACCATGGGGAGAGGGTCCAGCTGCGTGAAACAGAGCGTCGGGAAGTCAACCGAAGCGGATATGTCAACAGGCGCTGAGCGGGCCCATGGCCCCATTAGCCGGGTCCGATGACCCGTGGACGTCGACAAACGAGGGTGTCGGGGACGGGAGGGTGGGGGCCGTGCTCGCTGCTGGCCGAAAGCTGATACGAAAATTGCGTCAATATGGTAAGATGACACGGAATACAATCTGATGACAGCCTCAACAAGGTTTGGCACGATGACTTGGGAAGGTCTGTGACGATGCCTTGGGTCAGGTATTACCCAACGCGATATGGTACGGTGACCTTGGCTGAGGTCTTATATCACGACTCTACAAAGGTCTGATGATGACTTGGAACGGTCTAAGACGATTATCTTGGATGGATCTGATACGATGATCTGGGCTAAAGCCCTCTATCACGACTTTCACAAGGTCTGCCCAAATTGCATGGGAAAGGTCTGTGACGACGATTTTGGCTAACTATTACACAATATCCAGAACGCGGTATTATATTCTGACCTGGGTTGATCCGACACACTGATCTGAGATATTGTCTTATATTACGACCACCACAAAGGTCTCGCACCGTGCCCTGTGAATAGTTCTGATTAGATGACTTTGTTGACTTGTGCTACAATTCCTGGACAAGTTCCATTACGGGATCTGAGGTACCTACGGTCAATGACCAAGGCTATCTGATGACGACCTTCATTAAGGTCTGATATGATGACCAAGAAACGATCTGCGATGATGACTATGGTAAAGCATTATTATTATACAATCACCTGGGCAAAGGTCCAATAAGATGGCCTGGCATCGATCCCACATGATGACCTGGGGTGAAATCGTTATACCTATGACTATCACGACCGACATTCGGAGTCTAAACGGTTCTTCGTTTCAGTGTGACAAAACACCCTAGACCAAGTCTGACACATGATCAGAGTTCAATATGATCCGCTGACCTGGACTGAGGCATGACATGACGACTGACGACCTCCACAAGGTCTCACATGAATCATGATGACCTGAGAAAGGTCTGCGATGATGTCTTTGGTAAGGTATATTATTACACAATCGACTGTTCACAGGTCTCCTACGATGATCTGGGGAAGATCTGATATGGATATGATGACCTATCCATATAAGATATGATGGATATGATATGGATCTGATATGATGAATATGATGGATATGATGTGGATCTGATATGGATATGGATATGATATGATTTTAGAGCTTGACATCGATAATGCAGTACTGCCTAAATCTGTTTCTGCGATCAATGGCGTTGCTCAGAGAGTATTCTCAAAATGTGTCGCCTGGTTTGAATAGGGGACATTAGCCCGAAAACTGGTCTCCGAGACCGAATATGGAGAAACTGTTTTCTCAGTGCTGTAAAGCGATGGGCCAGCCGAGACGGGGCGGGACGGACGGGGGGGGGGGGGACTGCGCGGCCATGGGCCAGCCGGCGGGGGAGGGGTGTCTGTGGCTCACATGTCTAGTTGCAGGTGTCATGGATTGGATTCGAGCCAGCGCCGGCCGGAGCGAGGCGGGCTAGCAGTGAGTGTCCTCCGTCAGGTGAGAAACGACGGGTGTATGACGATTGCCCATATATCTGCCCGCTTTTGTATTGTACATTCTGCTCCGTTGGCGTGTTTGGCGTCTTGTTATCGATCATGATGTGAACGATAACACGATTTGGGTGCAGACGGCCAACAACAGCCAACTCTGTGTAACAGATCAGAGGAGCGAACGGTATGAGAAGCCCTAATCAGTAATAGGGCCCACCTATTGTCGATTAGGGGCTCGAAGGTCAGTGAGCGGCCGGCAGCAGGCACGAGGAAGGAGGGGAGGGGCAGGGGGGGGGGGCGCGAAGACGGTAGAGACGTGTGTCTGTGGAAGAGGAGAGGGGAAACACGACCCGAGGCAGAGGGGAGGAGGCTGACCCGAGATAAGGCACGCGCAGTAAACAGAGGGAGGGAGGGGTGGGGGGACAGGCCCGGGGAAGAAGCAAACACCACGTGGTCGAACAGTCCGAGACGCGCGCTCAGAGGCGACAGACGGTGTGATGAGTGGGGATTGAGTGACAGGCTGCGAAAAATGACCCCACCCCCCGGCCCCTCACTACAACCTTCATTCCTTAACACCATCGACATCGAGACCCTCGTCGTCGGCCCGTCTTGTTATCGATCATGATGTGAACGATAACACGATTTGGGTGCAGACGGCCAACAACAGCCAACTCTGTGTAACAGATCAGAGGAGCGAACGGTATGAGAAGCCCTAATTGGAAATTGCTGATGAGGTTCCAAAGAGGTCCAGTGTGACTCCCGCAAATTGGTCGTCGATTGCCTCTAACAAAAGTTGGCCGCCTTTGCGGTTACGGCTGAAGTTGTTGGCAGAAAGCGGCCCTTCGTTTTGTCAAACGATGTAATACATTTGTCAAAGGTCGGTTTCCAACGAACATTGGTCATGTTTGCGATGATCCAAAAATAATTACCTGAATACTGGGTCAGTTAAAACCATACTGCTTGTAATTGATAGTAGTCAGATATGTGCACAGATACCAAAAAATGGATCTGGGATCTTCTCCCACGGATCTTGACCTGGGATCCGATTTGATCATAGATCCAGCTCTCTCATTTGTTGAGAGATTCCTTGGGCTCATAGAGTTTTTTTTTGTCAATAGTCTTTTTGCCCGTTAAATCCGGCTCTGTGTCCTGCTGTGCTGTGGTCTGTTGTTCAGTGGCCCGCTGCTCTGTGGTCTCCCCTCGCTAACTCTCGCTCCGTCCGCCAGGTGTCTCTCTGGGCGCCGGCTTGCTGTTCTGTGGTCAATGGTCATTAGTCTGCCCTCGCTATCGATAACTCTCGCTCCGTCCGCTAGGTGTCTCTCTGGGCGCCGGCCTGCTGTTGTGTGGTCAATGGTCATTGGTCTGCCCTGCCCCTCGCTAACTCTCGCTCCGTCCGCCAGGTGTCTCTCTGGGCGCCGGCCTGCTGTTCGGCGCCATCACGATGCTGGTGCAGTACGTGGGCCTCTTCATGACCGGCTTCCACACGGGCCTCTACTGCGGCGTCATCAGCCTGGTGGTGGTCGACTTCTTCCACCGTCTGAGCACCGTGTGGCTCTCACTGGCCGTGCTGATGGGCTGGGGCCTGCTGTTCGCGCTGGCCAACCTGCGACTCCAGAAGAGCCTCACTGTGTTCGGCACGAGCGTACACGGCGGCGCCGTCATCATGGTCTCGATGGACTACTTCATCGAGCAGTTTGCGGCGGCGCGCTGGGTGCTGAACAAGGTGCGCCTGCGCGACGACCAGCCGCCCTGCTGGTACTCTTGGGTGGTGCTGGGCCTGTGGCCCCTGATGGCACTGGTCGGACTGCTGGTCCAGAGCCGCCTCACCGGCCGGGGCGTCCACCACAAAGTCGGTGAGTGAGAGCCACTGCTGCAAGGGCTCAGCGAGGGGGTAGGGAGGAGGGTAGGGTGGGGGAGGTTAGCTTTGTCAAAGGTGGAGGATGGGAATCGCGAAATAGACGGAGAACTGACTAAAGTTGTTCTCTTCTCTTAACTGTCTTCACCTTTTAGTATCGCATGATCTCATGCTCGTGCGCCATGTGATGTTTTATATTTTCTCGTTTCATCGTCATGCTTAGTCCCTGGCCGGGCCGTTTCAATCGGTGTGGTTTGTTACTGTAGTCAGTTTCAGCCCCAGTCTCGGTCCCTGACCGGCCTGTTTGAGTGAGCATGGTCCGTTTCAGTTTTTGACCAGTCCGTTTCAGTCACCGTGGTTTGTTTCAGTCAATGCGGTACGTTTATTCCTATGCTCAGTCCCTGATCGGTCCGTTTCAGTCAGTGTGCTCCGTTTCAGTGGTGCCGCACCACAAGTCCCGCACGGTGAACCTGCAGCGGCTCCGCTCGCGGCAGGCGCGGGCCGAGCTGCGCCAGAGAAAGTACCGGTACCTGTACCAGGTGCGCACCGCTCATGGTGACATCATCAGTCAGGTACGGACGTACTCGGTTCCTTCGGCTCTCCCATCACGTCAAACAGGATGATTTGTGGAATCGTGGAATGATTAAAATTCGGCATAGGTTCTGGAATGACTCCCGGGAATTAATGTAGTACAGCCTTGTTTAGGAATAAGCTATCCGGATCAATTATGCATATTTTTTCTCTTCAAAAGATGCCCAGATTTTCAAAATTGAAGCCCAAAAGCCGCTTGTTTCCCTGAACCTTGGATGGTATGCGATTTTTAGAGGAGTTTTCGGTGGATATACAGTTGAACAATCGACTTTATATTGACCTACCTGTTACATTTCAGGAATACGTGCACTCGTTGAACAAGATGGCCCAGCCGGGTGACCAGTCGACCCTACAGTCCAACTGCACCCGGGTCACCTCAGTCAACGACCAGGCCGCGCTCACTGCCCTCTCGGAGTCAGAACACGAAGCCGAGTTTCTCCATCCCACCGACAGTCGGCGCTCGAGCGGCGAGCCCACGCCCGAGCGGCCGCGCCCGGCAGATTACGGGGACCGAGAGCTATGAGATAAGGGGCGCGTGGTGCGTTTTAACGTGTGACCCGGCGCTCGGGAGCTGCCCGTGTTTGTGGGAGGATGCGTTCTGGACTGAGCCGAGGCCAGCCGAGCGGTGGCGGCTCAGTCGTATCTGTGATAGTGTGTGTGAGGCGAGACGAGACGATGACGGTGCCTTTGACGCAGTCAAGAGGTGGCGTTATGACCGGCTCGTGAGCCGTTTCGTGGCACGACGTTTCCAGTGGAGTGGAGGCGCCCAGTGTCTGGCAGTGTTCCCAGCATATACTCGAGGATAGCGTTCCGAAACCACCGCGCGCCCGGTGTGCTCTCTCGTCGCTGCAGCCGCGCCAGTCAGCCGCTGGTGACGGCAGGAACCCGTCTGCAGCGCACCAGGTTACCTACACTCGGTCTGTCAGCCCCGCCAGTCAGCCATACGTGGTGGCAGGGAACCCGTCTGTACCGCCAGTCAACCACGGGTAATGGCAGGAAAACGTCTGCAGCGCACCAGGTTACCTACCTTCGACCTGTCGACCAGACCACCCCACCGTCACCGTCTCTGCTACTGATGGGCCGAGACCACGGCACTTTTCCAGTTGTTCGAGCGCGGAGACTGTACTCATGTGAAGCTGCTCTGCCGTGCCGCATCAGGTTATCGTCCAGAAAAATCCAATAGACTGGATCTGGAGCTTCTAGTGTGACTACAGCACAGGCAGACGGCGGGAGTGTCCGCTGGTGGTCTGTCCGAGTCTCCATTACAGCCTCGTACCAAAGTTCTGTTGGGAGTCATTCCGTACTAGTGATTGTCCGTCGTTGTGTTACACGTACTCACATCTGGCCCATGCCGGGCGAACGGCTCGTACCCTGTGCTCTGTGCTCGCCTGGGCCCGGTCCGCGGAGTCTCTCATCGTGCTGCTGGCTCGACCTGTTCTCTGTCCCAAACCGCTGGTCCGTCCCCTCCCCGTCGCCAGCTCGACAGTCTGGCTGCCGGCCTACCGGTCACTGGCCCAGCTGGTCTGACCGCTGACCCGGCTGGTCTGCTCGCAGACCCAGCCTCTCTGACTGGTCTGACCGCTGACCCAGCTGGTCTGCTTGTCTTGCTATTCGAGCTGGTCTGCTGCTGGTCCAGTCTCTCGACTGGTCTGTCCAGCTGGTCTGTGACAGGCGTCGTTCCACTGGACATAATCACACTCACTCAGTCTCCGCCGGAGTGTAAAACTCCGCCGGAGACCAACCACTCTGCCGCCGTGTTACCCCCCCCCCCCTCCGCCCGCTCCCTTCACTCTACCCTCGCTGCTGTGTCGCAGTTGTCTGAGATCGTTACAATACACAGTCATTGTTGGTACGCGCGTGGTGTTGGCTGCACGATAGTATCTGAGACTCGACGTAGGTTCCGAATCATTGCAGACGTATAGCACAAGATGCGTGAACTGTCCCACGTTGATGTTGGTACATACCTAGCCTAGCTCAATGTTTCGAACACGCGTTTTTGGCATTTATGAATTTGAACTTTGAGCAATAGTACAATAGTTGATAGGGAACCACCGCGGCTCATTGATCGGCGATGGCTCCTGTCGCCGACGCATCGGCGCCGTACTTATAACGCTGCCGGTAGATGTCGCTAGCGATAAGCGCCTGGCCGGTATACTGTACCGCTAGACCCACTATCGAATGTGGTGAACGGCGCGGCGGTGGAGGTCGGGTGGAGACTGGAGACAAGTTTATTTGGTGAATGTGGCGAGTTCAGAGGCATTCTGAACATTCCGAAGACGAGGCAAGCAGAAACATATGTATTTGTGTATTTGTCCATTTTATCTTACATTTACGCATAGACCTCTGTATACAGGGGTCTATGATTTACGTAATATAGTATGAGCCTCTGGCTATTTGCAACGAGCCTTTTTATCTTACATATGCAATTGCCGAATTTAATTTTCCAGTATGGTTTCTAGTCAGAAACAAGATAAGTGATAACGACGACTGCAATCTAAAGGGAACGGGGTCGCTGATTGCCTGGGCACTTGGACAGTAATGACTTGAGGCTCTGAAAAAAAAACTATGGACTGAGTGGAATCCGTAATATAAGCATCTACAATGTAAACGGTGTCTAACATGCTGCACGCCATTACATACCGCAACTACAAAGCAGATTTACCTGACTTAAGATGGGCGCAAAATGACCTTGTATTCGGGCGCCCCTAACCCCCACAAACAAACAAACCTGGCTTTAACCCTCGCATGTGTAGGGGGGGAGGGGTCGGATGGACCCCCATGGTTTTTCGCGAATAACTCGCGTAAAAAGCGGCCGATCGCGACAAAACTTTCAGTACCCTCGCATTGATCAGTTTTACACCGACCCTGAAAATTTCATGACCCTGACCCAAATGACCTTTGACCTGTGACCTCTTTTCCGAGACCATGTTTGGCCGGAATCACGATTCCGCGTATGTCGGCTCGCATTAGCCGCGCGTTTGCAAGCTTTTCGTGGTTTCAAACGTTCAAACATGTGATTTGATGTTACTCCCATGCATTAGTGTGGGTGTCAAGGTCACCTGAAGGTCAGGTCAGGTCATTGACCTTTGGTGACCTCGGGTGACCTCGGTTCACTTTTTCGTGTTTTACATGTTTCTAGGCTAGTTTTTGGAGCTGAATTCGAATTTAGCAACCATTTGAACATTTACGAAGCAGTTTTGGTGCCTTCGTAACATGTTAGAAGCTGTCAGAGGCGGTTGGCACGTACTACGAATACCCGTCACGACGCCTACTGGTTGACCTGACCTGACCTGACCCGACCTGGTCTAAATGCTTAAAGACATCATCTGTGATCAAAACTAACACGATATTCGTGATCAGAACCCCGAAAAACCCCTTAGCAGCCACACTTTACGACTTTCTAATAGGTCCCGATTTTCCCGACTTTGGGTCATTGACCTGACCTGGAAGGTCAACCAATGACCTAGGACCTTAAAATTGGGTATCATCGGCTTTCTCTCGTCACGGGCAACACGCTCGTTTTTTCCGCGAAGCTCTAGCTCGATCAGGGGCCAAACGGCAAGGGGGGTCCAACCGACCCCCCCCCCCTACACATTAGAAGCTGGCAAACGCCGCACACATGCGAGGGTTAAGATAGCATTAACCACCGCGCCTCTGTGCCGATGAAAACTAGCGGGATCCAGTAGATTGCTATTGTATCGACCTGACATTAGCCGCGTTTACATAGGGCTAGTTGCCAGATAGTGGAATTCCGATAACGAGACATTTATTCCACTAACGAGACATTTCAGGCACATTCCGCTGGTTCTGACGACCTATCTATCTGTCCGTCTGGCCGGGTCATCATAACTAGCGGAATGTGCCTGAAATGTCTCGTTAGTGGAATAAATGTCTCGGTATCGGAATTCCATTATCTGGCAACTAGCCCTATGTAAACGCGGCTATTGTCGGCACGATTGCAAAGAAATTCATCCCTCCTGCAATGTCACTCGCGGCTGGAACACCACAATGCTCTCATTTCCTCCCCTCCCCTGGCTCCTGGGGCAGACTACTCTGGTATGTAAATCCGCGGAAGAATCGTTACCAGATATTCCTGCACTGCTATCGGTGGTCTCTGAAGTCGGCCCGGTGTGGATCAGTCAAGTCCCGCAGCGTTTCGGCCGCGGCCAGCGGCGCGCCGGTGGGCCGCGGATCAATGGATCGATGCATCATTTCGGCTCGGTTCAGCCGTTCGGTTTTGTATGGCGTCGAGTGGTCGACGGACGCCGCCCGACTGGACCCCCCCCCCCCTCCCCTCCCGTGTTCAATCGCCGAAGTCGGCCACCGCCCGGCAATCAGCTGACTGCGGTATAGGACAGCTGAGCCCACAATAGCGGGCGTCTCAGGAGTCTATATCCCCGAGCTTAGTACTTGCACTCTTATAGAATCGGGATTCGGGGTAGATCTATTCGATAATGTATGCACTCCTCTCGATCTTGAAACATGCGCTGTTGCATGGCCCAGTTGCACCAAGCTATCTATAAAAAACGAGTGTCACACATTACCTACTCTGCTTCAAGAGTAACGAAGTTATTTATAATTACATGTTCTTGTTATACAATATATATATATATATATATATATATATATATATATATATATATATATATATATATATATATATATATATATATATATATATATATATATATATATAACATATATATATAACATATATATAACATATATATATATATATATATATATATATATATATATATATATATATATATATATATATATATATATATATATATATATATATATATGTTACATATTTGTCTGTAAGATAAACATACATACCTACTGTACAATAAATGCACCTGTCCTACTTGCTCCATACGAAGGGCTCAGTTGATCTTAATGGTCGTAATGCATTAAGATCACAGCTCTCAGCTTAATAATTCCTATCCCTCATTCTCGTACGATATCGGGCAAGTGGATTTAATAGCCCCGCTAGCAATAGTTAATGTTTGTTTTGTGTTTGTTTTGTTGGGTTAGGCCCTTTCGGTCTGACAAGACCATTGCAGAGCCGGAAGGATGATAGGAATTAGGGGGAGACATTGGTCTGGGCAGGCACCCTAGTGAGTCGCTGGGGCTGAGCCCGTCCAGAGGACAGGCCACCCAGCCCCAAGGTACTCACTGCACCCGGCTACGGGGTGCGCTACCTCGGGAGCAGCGTTGCCGCTCCAAAGGAGCAGCCCGCATGAGATATAGTTGCCTGTCCAGCACGGAGGGGGTCGCGGCGTGGAGGAGAAGGATTTCCGTATCCTGAGGATAGAAGCATGGAAAGGTGATTATAGTTAATGCATCACATATTGACTATTGTAAGCACTAAATCCAAATATCTCTCCGTGTCGAGGATCATAGGGCATAGAGATAGAGCATATGTTCCACTTTCTCCGCGTCTTAACACTCAGCCGATTGCTATTAGGGCGATTTAATTCATTCATCGGTATCAGATACCCCAGCTGCGACACGCGAGCTAAGAAGAGCAGCGTCTATTGGTCTGAAGGGCGATCAGCCTCAGGCCGACGCTAGCGCCGCCTGGTTATCGAGCGGTGAACTAGCGCCGGAACAGAGCTCGGCCGTCCGGTCGGCTGGAGCTGCCGAAAGAGGAGGGAGTGGGAGGGAGAGAGGGGACGATCCAGCTCTCACCAGTCTGACACCATTCCGTCTTTTCCATCCTCAGAATAGTCAAATCCTTCTCCACGCCTCAACTCCCTGCTCCGGGCTGGCACGGTTCGTCGGAAGGTCATCTCAGGCTCAAAAGAAACGATATATACCATTCGAAAGCTTACGGTGAGCTGAATCCAAAAACGTATTTTTTATCAAAATCGATCGATGGCCTTTTTTGAAAATTGCGTTTTTCTAAAAACTTAATAATCTTTTATTCAACGGGCTGTCCCGGACATTCTTGAAAACATAAAAATGTATTTTTGAGTTCCAGTGAAAGCTGAACGCCAAAAGAACAATATTTAGCGAAGCAATATTTCCAAACATTAATATGCGTCTCCCACAGCCGAAAATAAGGCGCAATCACACAGCTCAGTGTCACGATGGACCAAAGTCAGCCACACAGAAGCGTGAAATGACCCTTATCGACTCGCAGACCCGGCGCTCTCGGCCCGCCTGACCGGCCACGGAAAGAACGTTCGGCTCTCGTTCTACTAAACAAATGTCAAAGTTGTCAGTTTAACTGTCAACATCGCTATTAAAGCTATTCAGGATACCTGTGAAGAAAATTCATTGTTCTGTCATCTTCACATCATGCATTAATTTGCATCTGTTCATGTCTACTTTGCTCAATTGAGCTTGGCATCATGCCCATATAAGGAAAATTGGCCGCGCTGAAATGTCAGAGGCTGCACCGGCCTCAGCTCGGGTGGAGTGGGGGTAGCGCCCGGCGGGGCAGGGTAACCTTTGACCGGTCGCACGGCCGAGCAGCTGTCACCAGTACAGCCTCTGACAGTGAAACCCCGCTCACTTCCCCTGCGCGGGCACTGATCGCAGCTGGATGGAACAAAACACCGCACAGGCCACATGCTCCTTCATGCGGGCTGCTCCCTTGGAGCGGCACCGCTACTCCCGAGCGGAGCGCACCCCGTAGCCGGGTGCAGTGAGTGCCTTGGGGCTGGGTGGCCTGTCTTCGGACGGGCTCAGCCCCGGCGACTCACTCGGGTGCCTGCCCAGACCAATGTCTCCCCCTATATCCTATCATCCTCCCGGCTCTGAAATGGTCTTACTGGACCGAAAGGGCCTAACCCAACAAAACACAAAACAAACACAAACACATGCTCCTTAGTACACTACCAACTGGGGCATTCCACGATAGATCGACCAAAGCCGTACACCCTCATATTTTATTTTTTGCTTAAAATTGGTCTAATGGGTTGTTATGGGCGGGGAAGCCAGCTGTGCCAAGGATTTTTTTCTGCGAACACCGGTTTCCGAGATATTGCCTCAGGCAATTCTTGGAGGTCATGCTTCAACCCTATGTTTGGCGGCTTATAACTCAGAAACTATTGGTTTTCAATGGTAAAAACTTTATATGATTCAACTTGCAATCAACCAGCGAACGTTTTAGCTATCTCGGATTCTCGATTTTTGAAAATTTTGATCACGTGACATCTTGATCTTTTTTCGAAGAGTGACCTTGATATTTTCCCAACTGAAAGTCGCAATTTTGTCTGATGACGATTAAAGCCTTATCAATTGTCATTCATATGCGACAATAAAAAAGTGGCTTTCGGCCTGCATTGACCTGAGATCAGGTCATTTTTATGACCTGTCCATTATTACGAGCGGGAGCGACAGCGAGATCTCGAGACTAAAGCAAGATAGCGACAAGTGGCAAACGATACAGGATTCACACGGATAAGGTCTACAATTTTTACTGAGGTTATTTTCAGGTCAGGTCAAAGATGACGTCACAGGGGTAAAAAGGAAGTCAAAATAGTTTTGGCTGTACCTTTTGATCTAATAAAGAAAGAGACGTAGAATAGGCACCAATCCGTTTGCTTTCGCCTAGCGCCAGTTCGTTTTGAATTTCGATACCGATGACTTGAGGTCAGGTCAATTTCTTGACCATCCCATTATAAGTCAATTGGGGAAAAATCAGCTCCCTTATTTTTACACTAAAACGCGTCGGAATTGCCTAATATACCATGAGTGACTCCATATGCGACTAACTTTGACTACCTTGAGACCTTTTTTGCTCTTGGTCAACTGTGACGTTGCTCTTGGATCATGTGACGTCATTAAAGGTCACCAAATGTTCTTTGCTAATAACTCCTTACAGGTTTGAGATACGGCCTCGCGGATAGGCTCATTGTGTTCAGCTCGTCAAGGCCCATCGAATGATATATATGATGACCTTAAGGTCACGTGACCTAAGGTCAACTTTTGACCTTGACCTTTCGAGGTCAACATACGCATGTTTCGATGCGGATCGACGAGAGGATCACGATGGTGCTATTAGTTTGTTCCTAGCTGGGATACTTCGAAAGTTATTCGAGAAAAACTTCATATATATGTAGTGCCGCCATTTAGACTTTCTATTTACCCCTGTGACGTCATCTTTGACCTGACCTGAAAATAACCTGAGTAAAAATTGTAGACCTTATCCATGTGTATCCTGTGCCGTTTACCGCTTGTCGCTATCTTGCTTTGTTCTCGAGATCTCGCTGTCGCTCCCGCTCGTAATAATGGGAAGGTCATAAAAATGACCTGACCTGAGGTCAACGCAGGCCGAAAGCCACTTTTTTATTATCGCATATGAGTGACAATTGATAAGGCTTTAATCGTCATCAGACAAAACTGCGACTTTCAGTTGGGAAAATATCAAGGTCACTCTTCGAAAAAAGGTCAAGATGTCACGTGATCAAAATTTTCAAAATTCGAAAATCCGAGATAGCCAAAACGTTTGTTGGTTGATTGCGAGTTGAATCATATTAAGTTTTTACCATAGAAAACCAATAGTTTCTGAGTTAGATATAAGCCGCCAAACATAGGGTTGCAGCGTGACCTCCAGGAACTGCCCGAGGCTATATCTCGGAAACTGTTGTTCGAAGAAAAAAATCCTTGCCACAGCTGGGTTCCCCGCCCATCACAACCCATTAGACCAATTTTAAGCAAAAAATAAAATATGCGGGTGTAAATTTTAAGTTTTTTTGGTCGATCTATCTTGGAATGCCCCAAAGGTCACCGCACTGACCACACGGGCCCGCGTACGGACCGAGCCTGGCGCCGCGGGTGACGGGATGGCACTGGGGACGGAATAGCGCCGGTGACGGGATGGCGCCGGGGGAGGGAGCGCCGGGAGTGGCGCCGGGAAGGGATGGCGCTGGAGATGGGTTGGCGCCGGTGACGGGATGGCGCTGGAGATGGGCTGGCACTGGGGACGGGATAGCGCCGGGGGAGGATACTCCTCCCCGGGACGGCTGGCGGGGGAGGATCCTCCAGAGGAGGGACAGCGCCGTGCCGGTGCTGGGAGGAGGTGGCGCCGGGAGGATGCCGCCGCGGGCGGGGAGGGAGGGCGGAGGGCGGGGGCGACCGGACATCCCGTGCTGTCGCTCCGTTATGCCCTCTCGTTACTGGAAGTGGTGCTCGTTTCGCGATAGAGTCCTCGGCTGACGGCGACTGGTGCGGCCGATCAGCTGTATATCGATCGGCCCGGCCCCGGGCCCGGTCCTCCGTGGGCGGCTTCGGGTCATCGGGCACGCAACACCGGCTCGGCTGGGGCTCTAACTTCTACATACATACCGCTTCTTCTCATACAGGTGCATGGAGGTTGGACACACCACTGTCGCCTCTGTTCATCAAACGTATCAGTTTTACTCGTGAGCCTTGTAAACGTGCGCGCTTCAAGCAATGGCTGTGCCAGCAATAAGAACAAGTTTTCGGTGGCCGCTCATTTATTGATGAAAGCTTGAGGCAGTCAGTCCGCGAGATGCGATCCAATGTCAGTAATTGTTCCATCGGGATAACATTTTGGACAAAGTAAAGGTCTTTTCTAAATAAATACCGGCTGTCCTTTTTATATGACTATTATTCCCCAAAAATAATTATAAGTAGATCCTAGCAAATGCAAATTTCATTTTACAGAAACTAATCAATACTTTTTATGGTGGCGTTAAGATCCATGTCACCAAGTGCCTCTCTCATGGTATTAAAAAGAGCTTTTGAGATGACGGCGGCGATTTTCGTTTTAAGAAGCTTTATAATGCTGTTTATAAGTGGATCCAGAAGGAAGCCAAGAGAGAAGTCCTTGGTGTCGACAGTCACATCTCTGAAACATATTTGAGGTGCGTGTCAACAATGCTTAAGTGGATTTAGACAACATCAAATTCAAAATAACAAGGCAGAAAACTCACAGACATCAGTCATCACGGCTTAGTCACTATTTCAGCCGACTGAGCACGCTTAGGTCCATTTCTGAAAACTGAATTATCTGTAATCGTTCTCCGGCTCCGATCTACTCACCCCATGTCGGTGATTTCAAATCTGTCCAGTCTGGCCTTGAGCGTCTTGGCCGAGATGCTGAGCTGGAAGCGCGCCTCTGTGTCGCACAGCTCGATCAGGACCGAGAGCTCGGCACCGGCCGGCTCCACGCCGATCTCGTAGCTGGCCGAGAGGCGCGAGAAGCTCAGCCCGGCCTGGACCGACACCCACTCGGTCTCGCCGGTACTCAGGTGCGAGTCGCCGCTCCGGTGGATGGTCGACAGGCCCTCCAGAGAGCCCTCCGACAGCGCCACGATGTTACCCAGCACCTGTACGGGAGGAGAGGGGATAGGACAGCGCCACGACGTTACCCAGCACCTGTACGGGAACGGGTGAGGAGACAGATTCGGCGGAGAGAATTGGCGCACGGTATGGGGAGGTCCAGAGTTATATGGACGTATGGTTTTGAGAATGATGTGACAAAAAGTTGGACTGTAATAAGATAATTAAACTTCGCGTAAAACCTCACAGAACCCGGACACAGCAAAAAAAAAAACATCCATAGAAGTCGCTACTTTACAGGCACGAAGCAGGGTTTGGGTCGAGGGGTAGCGGAATGACTGGTTACCTCTGTATCCAGCTCCGGAAGGCTCATTGGATCCAATCCATTCTTGAGGATGTCCTTTCGCAGTTTGGGTGTGAGTCGATCCACGAGTGCGTTAGTCTTCACCGTGCCATGGAGTCTCGTTAAAAGTCGTCTGACAGAATGACACAGCCACGATACGTTCATAAGCCGGATAAGATGGCATCAGAAATTACGAATGTAGTTCACAGCGTGAACGTCATAAAAAACAATGAGCTTAACCCTCGCCCGCACATGCCATTTTCCCATCCTAGAACGCACATGCCCCCCCCCGCGCCATTTCGTTCCTGTTGGAGATAGAGCTTAGCGGTAAAGACCAAAAAGATTCTTTGGGAAGAGACGAATCCAATGATACCCAGTTTTACCTTCTCAGGTCAGTCATTGACCTTCCAGGTCAGGTCAAACTAAAAAATGTTGCTATTTTGGGTCAACGTTGGATATCAAGTGCGCTGCTTACCATATACCGATGACGATGCTGTTTTCTGGTGCCAAGCCAGCTAGAACCTCTTTGTCACACTACCCGACCAGATTTTTGCTGCTGAGGTCATGTCAGGTCAAGTTAGGTCAAGGTCAATAATATGTGTTTGTATGTCTGTGTGTGTCTGTGTGCATACTTATGTGTGCACCGATTGTTTTTGTGTCCATATTACATGAAATCATAATCTGAGAAGCTGTTACCAAAAATTTAGTCAAAAAACTTGACAAAAAGTAATTTCCGCTTACCTAAAACGCAATTATCTTAGATGACCTAGGTTGACCTTGACCTTGACCTTGACATCTGTACATCGTCGAACAACATGTTCCATGATAGTTGGGAGGTAAGACTGGCAAAAAAGGCCGAAATCAAGGTGTCAAAAGCTCACAAGGCCCATAGCCAGCGCAAGATGTTGAGAATTGGCCATTTGGGTCATGACATGACCTGAAAAACAAGGTCATATCTCCGAAACCAAAAATCACAGAAACTTGAAATTTTCAGTGGACATCAAGAAAGGATAGAGGAGCAGCTATACGAAAAATCAGCCTTCTAGCTCTAAAAATGTTGAGTGCAGAGCAGAAAGACTACCTGGGGGGGCAACCCCCCCCCCCCCCATGTGCGGGCGAGGGTTAAAGAAATACTCAATTTATCGTCGATGCAAACCCTAAATTAAAATGCAGCAATTTAATAATTTTTTCTTTCACATCCATTAATGGTATAGGTAAACATCCTCGAAACATATATGGTCATCTAAGCATGCCATTGGTACTGCATGTTTTGCAAGTCGCCGCGCCGAGGCCGCCGTCCAGCTCGGTTATCACTTACTGCAGACCCGTCACGTTGCAACAACACCGGAACATTTCATTGATGTCTAATGTTGCATCGTACGATTTGTCTTGAAGTTTAGCGCATCTCAGGAATATTCAATTATCTGATATGCGATAAATGGATGAAATATAGAAAAAGTTACCATTATTGAAGGACACCTAATTTTCAGTAAACTCTCAGCTTTTGCCAGGTGATAATGGATGTCAAGAAAAAGGCATGGCTGCTTCTTCTAGGAGCACCTGTGACACGTTGTGGCTTCAAATTTCTCAGCTGATTTTCAGGGTTTGATTTTCGTGGGGTGTTTGCTTCATCGTTGCTCGTGACAAAGTTCGCCAGATATCTCACTTGAGATATTGTTTTACGGATGGAGCAGCAGTGAGTCACTTCACATCGGGGCTGTCTCCAGCTCAATAAGAGTCACAGTCAGGAGCTCAGGAGCAGAGAGGAGACGTCAGTGGCAGGAGTGGATGGATCTGGAGCGCCGCCTCGGCTGTCGGTGGCACCGCCAGGAGCGGCGTCACGGACAGTGGACACAGTGGACACTGACTGGCGTGGGTGCTCCCGAGAGCCACCGCTGCACGTCTTTTCTCAGCTGAGACGACTAGCCCAAAGACACGTCATACTGACTTGCCTGAGACTGGACGATAGTGCGAGGTTAGTATGAGCATCTAATCGCTAGTGATACTCGGTGGTTCGGCATTACCAATTGTTTTCGGCGAAGGACAGCTGAAATTTATAAAACAGTCCAACTTATTCTGTTTGCAGAAACTCATAGCTATCCATATGTCCGTGTATTTTTCTCTCATCCTTATACATCTATATATCTATTATGTAAATACATGCGATACAGCTAGCGTAACATTACTTCTAATACATTTTTTTTGTAAATAGTATTTCATAACGCCTTGAAGGTGTTGCCTTCGGCTTCAACCATCTGTCGACAATAGTCACAAAAAGCAAAAAGCATCAACAAAATTAAAGTAAACGTTGATCTTAGATTGTCTTGCTCCATCACAAACATTTTGTGATATGACAAATTTCACACGTAATCGACAAATATACCTAGATATACTGTACTGAATATACTAACAATGTAATCTAATAATGTTTATAATGCTAATAATGATAATAATGATGATAATAACAATAATAATAATAACAATAATAATAATAGTAATAATAATAGTAATAATAATAATAATAATTACGAGCGAGCGAGCGCAGCGAGCGAAGTGAGTCTTTTCAATATAATGGAAAAATCTCAGTATGAGCAGCCCGGCCCGGCCCGGCCCGGCCCGGCCCGGCCTGTAACGCTTTTGAGAGGCTTATATCTCAGCAACCGCTGGACCGATTGGCCTGCGGTCTTTTTTGTTGGGTAGCCCCATCCCTTCTACCCCGTAATTGACTACTTTTGATACATCTCAGTGACCATCGTGGCACGTGCCACGTGAAAAGTCAAGGGTGTTCAAGCTGTTTTGCAAAAGTAGTGATTTTGAGAGGCTCATATCTCAGCAGCCGTTTGGGCGATTGACTTGCGGTAATTTTTGTAGAGTAGCAGCATCCCTTCTACCTAAAAAAGGATACTCTCGATGCATGTGGGTCACCCCCAGTGCACGTGCAAAATACAACAATGAGAGGTGCCAAATTTGTTCCCATTTCAGTAACTCGGTAATTACTGGGGCGATTTCGCTGAAACTTGGCATACAGGTAGGCAAGGCCCTAAATCAGGTAGGCATCCACCAGGCAATGCATTCCCATGTGTTGCGGTTAGGGTGCTACTGCACGTGCGCACGTGCAGGGGGCGTTTCCAGATCTCGAGAACGGCTGGGCCGATTGCGCTCAAATTTGGTACACGGTTGGGAACCATTTAGTAGGGTGCCGTGCAAAAGTCATTTTGGACCCCGTTTGCACGTGCGCACGTGCAGGATGCCGCTTCCAGATCTCAGGAACGGCTGGGTCGATTGCGTTCAAATTTGGCACACCGCTAGCGACCGGTTAGAAGGGTGCTTTGCGCAAGCCTGTTGGAAGCACCCTCTCGCCCTTCCGCACGTGCAGGGCTCACTATCTCGCTCGCTCGTTCTTCGCCCAAAAGGCGTTTTACTGGTAATAATAATAATAATAATAATAATAATAATAATAATAATAATAATAATAATAATAATAATAATAATAATAATAATAATAATAATAATAATAATAATAATAATAATAATAATAATAATAATAACAATAATAATGAATATAATAATAAAAATAATGATAAAATAATGACAATAACTAATAATCGGTATACTGACATGGTAGCACTAACTACTAATGGCGCCTTTTCCGAATCGCTGACTCAAATAATTGGCGGGAAGTTTTCATGACCCAAAGCGTAGTTCATATTGTAACAAAGAACATATTAGAGCAAAACATCAAATTTGTTATTGGCTGTGACAACAGAGCTCGTAAAACATCCAGCGCCAAATAAGTAATTTCCGTGTTTCTCCTACTATAGTTATACTAGCCTACTATAGTTATAATTATGATGTCAAACGGCCGACTTGATCTCAAGTGACCTGTGCAAGAAATTGATACATGTATGGTGCAATGTATGTACCTGGGAGCCTGCTTATTTCTGATAGCTGCATCTTTCTGTGAAATATTTCCCAGTACCTACCGAGAGCGTAGCGATTTGGACCTCTTTTGGAAAACGGTGCATGTGCATTAGATCCCGCCAATGGTCAGGTAGGACACAATTCAGCCCTCTATCTCTGACATACTCAAACAACCGTAAAAATATAAACCAGAAGAAAATATCATTGCTCCCAAACTACCATACCCTTGGAAGCAGTCGCCTCACTTAGCAGCCTTATGCAGATTGTGCTAGTCTATAGCCTATGCATGTGCTTGTGCTAGCCTTATTATGCTAACGGCTCAGTCGTCGAAGGTGGCATCGATGGCGGCGCGCAGTCGCTGTCTCTCGCCGCCGCTCATTTCAGCCAGCTGTGCGCGCAGCTCGCTGAGCCAGCGCCGCCTCCGGCGCAGCTCCGAGCGCTGGTCCGGCAGCTCCGAGTGCTGTTTGGGCAGCTGGTCCGGCAGCTCCGAGCGCTGGTCGGGCAGCTCCGAGTGCTGGTACGGCAGCAGCTCCGAGTGCTGGTCCAGCAGCTCTGAGCGCTGGTCTGTCAGCTCTGAGCGCTGGCCCAGCAGCTCGCCCGTGACCGGCGCTCCCTCCGCGGCGCTGAGCTGACGGCTGGGAGCGGTGCAAGCGGAGACTCTCCACAGCAGGGGCAGCCGCCACCGGCTCCACAGCTGCGCTCGTCCGACGACCGTCTCGACGGCCAGCAGACAGCTGCTGACCAGCACCGCCAGCGGAACGATGGCCAACACCGCCAGCGTGTTGGCGAAACTCAGCGGCCGGTACTGCTGAGACGGCACGCACACCTTGGTGTCGATCTCCACCCATTTGTTCCGCAGCCGTCCCAGTATTCCTGCCTCGTTCATCTTTTGTAGCTCAGCCTCTATGCCCTCCTTCAGGTCAATTTGTCCTTTCGCGATCGGTAGATAACCACTTCCTTTATTGAGCATTGTGTCTGGCGACAGCATCTGGAACTCGCAAGCGTGCTGACCAAACATACGATGCAAAGACTTCTGGTCGCAAGAAATCATTACTTTAGGCTGTAACAAATAACTCTTTTCATTTCCTTCATCCTTTATCCGTATATATTCACCATCATGTATGAGATGGTAGAGTTGTCGTTCATTGTGGCTGCTGCTGGTTTTCCAATGGTTTTCCGCGCTGGTGCCGGGCCGGGTAGCCAGCCTCCAGCCGGGCTGTGCGAAGAACTCGCTCAGACTGCTGATGGGCGCTCGGCTGGTCGGGCTGGCCAGGTGGGAGACCAGCGTGGCCGTGTAGCTGCTGTAGACCAGCAGGCCCAGCGTCCAGCAGCAGACGGTGATGGCGCGGCCGGCCAGCGAGCGGGGCGTGCGCGCCCAGCCCTGGCCCACCATCGCCATGTAGCTGGCCAGCAGACAGGAGCCCCAGCCGAGCTCTGAGACCGTCCGACGCTGCTCGGCCGACCGGCTGGAGACCACCAGCGTCAGCCGCAGCGCCGCCGACAGCGCCACGATCGCGGCCAGCAGCGTCCACCAGACGTCGGCGCCCAGCGGCCGCGTCAGCGCGCTGAGCGACAGCCCGGCCGCGCCCGGCGCGCCGCGGCGCACGAACAGACCCGTCTGGAACGAGTCGATGGGCGCGCTGCTGACAAAGTCGATCACCTCCAAGCGGTCGCCGCTGCGGAACAGCCAGGTGAGCGCCAGGTCGGCGCGCCCGTAGGCCAGCTCGCCCACCAGGCCCGCCCAGGTGCCGTTGGTGGTGAGCGAGCCGAAGGAGCCGTTCACCATCGGAACGAAACGGTACCGCAGGCCGAGCCGCGCCGCCAGGATCGTCCACAGCTCGAACAGAAAACCGCCGTGACTGAAGGAGCCGTCGGCGCGCCGCTCGACAAACAAGTGCGGCGGATCGTGCAGCGTTGCGACGCGGACCTCTCGCTCCAAGAGATCACGCGGCCAGCCTCGGCCAACCGAGACCAGAGAGCTAGTAGGCTCCTCCATGGGCGCATTCGCGATCGTTTGGAACCACACGGTAAACCCGACTCTGAGAAGGCCCGGAGCGCCACTGAGGCTCCGGGCCGGGCCGCACAGAAATGCTGCAGATAATTGCCTTTTGTGTCACTACACAATATCCTTGTGGTGTCTTACTGCGCCAAACCCGCAAGTCGCCTATCGAGCCACACAAACTAGCAATCCCATTAGGCTTTTGCTCGCATTGTTACGGCGTTGACAGCGCTGTTACCATGCCCCGAGAACGTGCGGGGTGCCAGTTGTCAAAGAGCAGGATGTGTGCATTATGGAGATCATTCAGTACGACCTGACAGATGTCAGCGCTTGTTTGAGCTCCTAAAATGTAGACAATGCCAAATGATTGTGATGTAGCTGTTTTGGGAGCACATACCCACTTGAACGTTCGTGTGCACAGACATTGTGCATGCATACGTGACATAACATAACGTAGGCATGCATTCAGTCCTTACAAGCTATGTAAGTTGTAGACATATGCTCACTAGTCACTGGTCGATCCAGAAAGATGGTATTGGAAGCTAGAGTAGACTGAGGTCTATTATTACACGGGACAAAAGTACATGGCGGCTCTACATAGTCTCAAAGCCACCCATGGATTTCAGGAGCGGCACTACGCAATGCACCATCGTAATGTCCTGTGAGCTACCGCCTGTCCTCACAAGGCTGGGGTGCAGAAAGTTTCGGAACAGCTCAGCTAAGGGTGGATTTGCATTTTCAGGGTATTTTGTAGCTTTTTACCTTCGATGTTATAATCATCTCAAACTTCGATGCCAAAAGTTTGTTTTTACCTAAAAGAGTAAAACGTGTGTTTGGACATCATTTCACGGCATTGCCAGTCTCTGCTGACAAATCGTTTCCTTTATATATTCCCGAAAAAAGTGATGCGAGGTCAAAAGTAGCAATAAAATCGGGGACAATGGTAACATGCTACAAATTTAAATCGTAATCAGGTGCACGATGATTCTGCTCTGCCAACATTTATTAGCCTTTTAAGAGGACGAGCGGAGAGGATTTTCGGCTTTCCTAAACTGTGATTAGACTGGACACATATGTCGTATTGTAATGTGCCTTTATTTGTAATGTTACAACTGACCCGGTGCAGCGTTAGGGTTGACCACGAGTACAGAGTCAATAGAAACCTCCGATTTCACTTCCTTATTAGTAAGTCGTTACTGCGTAATTTAACCCATGCCCGGCCACCGGTCAAACACGTTTCCACAACGCGGCCGGCCAGCCGACGCGGTGGTTAAGTGCGATCTTAAGTTAAGTGCGACCCCTGGCGATTGGTTTCCTCATGGTTTCCTCACAGTGTATTATAAATAGGTTTCCTATGGTAGGGGAAGTGACATGCGCACGGCCAAGGGTTAGCCCGCAAACAAGTTTGCAATGAAATGGAAGTTTTTGTGGATTTTTCTAAACCGTTGACACGATTCAACCTAAGATTTTGAAAGACTGCTGTCCAATTCGCCGTTCGAATGTCGGCGACGACCTTTCGTCCGAGCAGACATTGATTCTCATCGTGCGCCGAGTAGTTCCAGATGCTGCCGCTGTGCCCGGGGTGGCGCAGCCCTCGTCCTGAAACAGCGAGGCGAAAGACGCTGCTAGCTGATTGAACCGAACGTACGAAAACGTGAATGCAGCTGCGTACGAATTTCTTTTAAAGTAATGACCGAATGCATCTGAGACCCAAGTCAATCGAGGCCATAGTTAGATGAGGATATGAAGGTCTTTAATTTGAACACATGAAGAGGAGAAGGCGTTTTGCAACCCAAATTGTTCCGGGGTAGTGACCAATTAAGTTCCAGAAAAGAGCTTAAAAGACCGAAGAGAGAATCTTATATCATTTAATTGCAATTACGATGTAACTAAATTACTGAACTTGTCCCCAGGCCGGCTAATGCATAATAACAGAATTACCTTGCTCTGCTTCTGAGCCACGGCCTAGGTATATCATTTCTATAGATTAACAATAGGCATCGTTGATCGTACCATGGTACTTACATGGTTTCGTAGCAGTCGGAAGAGTCGTCAGGAGAGTGAATCCCCGCCAGTGCGCTCGACTGTCTGGCCATGAGACGACGAGGCATCGGGCTCAGCCGCCGTGGGCGAGGTTACAAGAGACGGCAGAGCGGCAGAGCATAATAGTCGTTTTTTACGACGGACATCTGGTACACATTTGGTGCAGATCAGGTGCAGATTTGGTCAAATTAGGTTTAGTGTGTTTCCTAACAGTTATCAGTTTGGGCTACACAGATGCTTATACACCTCATTTTTCAAATTATCAGACAATATTTTCGATATAAACACTGAAATAAATTCATGATACGAAGATATTTATTGTAAAAGAGATTTGGTGGCTGGTGCAAATTTGGTCAAATTAGGTGCATTCGCCACTGTCAGATAGCCCGGCGTGAAAACAGCTATTATAATAACGTGCAACTTGTGCCTCTTGTAAACAAGTGCGGATGGCGCTAAGCAAGGTCACTGTTCCTTTCAGAGAAATATCATCAGCTTCCTCTCTTCGCGGGCAGCCCGCTCGTTGTTCCGCAAAAGCTCCAGCTCTATCGGGGGCCGAATGGCTCATGAAACGGTTCTGATCGAGGACGTATAGACAAAGTCAAGCATGCATTCTTTATGCACTGCCACGCTTATCAGAAACTCAAATAAATTGAGTACTCGATTCCACCATACAATTAAGACGTTACAAAAACAATATACGTAATTTTGCCTTGTATTCACATGTCTGTTTTTGACAATTTTGGATTCCAACAAAAAAAAATAAAAAATAAAGAGGAAAATCGCTGCAAAATCCAAATTTTGACTTTATTGAAGAAAAAAGGAAAAAATGTAAGCGAAGTAAGGCCTCTGCACCCACATTTCAAGTTTTAGATGAATCGTTTAAAAGTGTTATTATAGATATAGAAGATATAGATATAGATATTTATTCACAAAAGGTCCACTCAAAAGTGTGGCTTTTCACTTCCGCACGTCACAAAATAAGACATGAGTAAACATTCACACGCAGCTACGTAAACAGGGTTAAAAGGTTAAAATGAACTAAAAGAAGATAAAGAGCACCAGTTACATAGGAACATCTAAAATTATTCAGTTACCGGACGCCGACCGCTCGGACCTCAGGTGTCTTTTCACGGCTGCCCTGTTCACAGTGCCCTGCGTTCTGCGCACGCTGTTATAGCCCTGCACGGCGCTATAGCACAGCCGATTCCGCCCCGCCTCCGTATGTATGCTCGGCAGTGACAAGCTGTCGGCATCTCGAGTGTCGTGCTGATGCAGCCGGCTCGCTGGGGGACCAATGGTTTCAGCAAGCACCGCTGGCACACGGTGTGTCACAAGTCGATGTACGGACATAATCCTGTGGTACTGAATAAGCTGCTCAGCAGTGAGCCATCTGACATGACAAATGACGTCAGCAACGCGCTGATGTTTGCGTCGCCCACTCAGCACTCGCGCGGCAAAGTTTACCAGCTTTTGTAGCCGACGCTTCTCCGTCTGAACACATACGCCGAACACCGACAGACAGTACCGCATCGCTGACATCACCAACGCGTCGATCAGATACTTGATCGTGCCGCGAGGCAGGACATGTTTTGCATTGTTTAAGGCGAGCAGCATTCCTATGCATTTGTGAACGATCAGGCTGACGTGAGACTGAAAAGACAAGTTTCGATCAAAAATGACGCCTAGATTTCGCACCTCTTTGGTAGCTCGAATGGTCGATGCATTAAATTTCACAGACACATCAGGAGTAAGAGCAAGTAATTGTCTACTCCCAAATACCATTAACTCAGTTTTTGCAGCGTTCACTTTCATTCCATGGTGACAGAACCAGTCAAACAAACACTGCAGAGCAGTTTCGATCCGACTGACCAGGGCAGGTAGGTCGCGTCTCTTTCCACTAGTCCATATCTGTGTATCATCAGCAAACTGAACTATGCGCACTGAGTCTGGAACGTGCAGGCACAGGTCATTGGCAAATATGCACCAGAGAACGCAACTCATCGATCCGCCCTGGTAAACGCCAACCGAATTCTCCCTGATAGACGATCGAGATACGGATCCAAGAGCACTATTTGTAAGTTGTACTTGTTGGGTATGTCCTTCCAGATAATGTTTGATCCAAAAAGTGTCTATTCCGTACAGAGACAGCTTTTCTAATAGCTTATCGTGCGGTACCATATCGAAACACTTTGACAGGTCTACCATAGCCCACAGAGTGATTTCACTTCTGTCCATCGCTCCGAGTATGTCGTCTGTCACCACGTGAAGAGCTGTTTCACACGAATGCTGCCTTCTGTATCCGTGCTGCGCCTCGCTCAGTAGGTGATGTGACTCCATGTATGATGTGAGCTGAAGTTGGGCCGCTCTCTCGGTCACTTTCATGATGGCCGGTAGCAGCGAGATTGGGCGCGTGCCCGACGGATCAGATGGTGCCTGCTTCCCCTTCGGAATTGGTGTGATGATTGCACGTTTCCATGCGCTGGGTACTTGGCCGGTCTCGAGGCTGGCGTTTACAGCATCATGTATGATGTGACCGAGGCCGGGGAAGAAGTCCTGCATCATCCTGACGCTGATGCCGTCGTCACCGGCGAAGGTAGATGGCTTCATACCCTGTACTATCGTCCACAGCGTCTCCATGCTGACGGGCTGAATTCTCAGGGCTCCAGACGTAACCCTCGGCAGTCTGATGGGGACCGACTTCGACGGGGCAGGTAAGGGCCCTGTTTCACCGGTGATAGCAGCACGCTGCTATCAAATTGCGCGAGCTGACGTAATGTGATGACGTCATACTGCTGACGTAAGGGGCAATTCTGGCGCACGATTGCCGCAATATTGTTTTACGTCATCAGCTAAATGTTCGAAGTTAATGTCCAAATTTTTCCTAAAACCAACTCCTTTTAAATACATCATATTGAAAAAATATATATCAAAAATATATATACTATCATGAATGC